GAAGACTGAAAGAGACTGAAACTGCAATCGAAGAACCCGCCAAGATGAAATATATGTTTCATATTAAAATTATTGATACCGGAGTGAAATGGGGAAAATGCACAGTGTAAAGAAAGAAAATTTTTTTCTCACTTTACATCGGTAGCACAACTGCACCGTTGCATTGCTTCTACACGTTTAGGGGGGACTATTTAAGCGGGCCACGGCACCATGGAATTTAAGCGCCTGCAGTGCAGAGGACGCAGGACCGCGTCACTAACTGGAATATATATTCATCCGTCTATTTTCATGGCCTGCATTTAACTCGGGGTAGCGCGGTCGAATGTTGACGCCCACCTTGAGTCATGGAACTGACCTCAGGAGGTAATTTTGGAAATCAAGCGCAGGGATCTTTGATCTTTCAAGGCCTTCGAGTTCTTCTGTCGGTCGGCGAGCAAGCGGCATTTCTCTTTGACTCCTTTGCAACGGCATTTTGGAGACATTACCAAGCAATTTGAACCGTAATCTTTCAGTCTTAAGAAGTAACGGCTCGATTTAGAATTTTCGAATCACAGAGTTCCAGATTTCGTCCAAACGCATTTATCCAATGACTATTCTGAGAGATTCCATCTGAGCCGCTTGCATTTCGTTTTTACTGCCTAACCGTAATGACCATAAGCAAAGGTGAGAGCAAGAACTGATTGGATAAAGGCGAGCTTTGCTCTAAGATTCAGCCACTCCTTTGTTATGACAGACCGGTAAACTTTACGAATCATTTCATTTTCCATATCATCGATGCCACGTGACCCGAACTGTTCTTCCAGCCTTCCTTCATTCGTAAATTTGATCTCGAGGCATTTGAACTTCTCCACCTGCCTCTGAGTCTAGCCTCACGAAAATGCAACGGCAGAGAGCAGGGGATCGGGAGGTCACAATGCTTCCGATTTGGCATGTTTATCTTCATTCCTGCCACTTCGAGTTCGGATACAATCAATTAAGGCTCTTGAGATCCCTTTCGATTTATGCCATCAGGAGGAGAAGATCTGACTTCCGCCTCACTGATTCTCAGACATTCTTTACCTTCGCTGCATCTGGCTGTCCAGAATTCCTACCGCTTAAGCCTGAAGCGCATGTTTGCAAAAGTTCTTGAAATCGGTAGCCACAGGGGATGCATTCATAGACAAAAGAGTTCAGTTATTTACTGAAAACCATCCGATTGATGACATGCCAGTTGTTACCAATTTCACCCGAGTATTGATAACAATAGTACAGTGTATAATAAATCACGGGACTGGAAATTAAACAGAGTTGCTGAAAATGCGGAAACTCCCTAGTCGGTGAAAACACACAGATACAAAACTCGCCGTAATGCGGGTAAGGAAAATCGCATATCTAGTGATTTGCATTACAGATAGCTGTACATGGCATAAGATTGCAAACATGAGACAATTTGCGATGATTCATAAAGGAAATCAACGGAGTTTCATTGAATAAGAAGCATAACCCATCGGGCTTCGAACAGAAGAAGACGATCATTGATATTTTAGCTGTTACAAAATATTTTGACTGCAATTAAATGGAATCATAATTTTTTTTCATAATTCCATTCATCAAATGGAATTATTCGAAAACTTACTTCGAACACTCGGCCAATGCGAACCTTGGGCCCAAATTTGCTCCACTGTGCGTCATAACCGTATGTGTTCCACACCTGGTGCCACATGAATTTAACCGCTAGCCACTGACCGAACAGTGGAAAGACTCGTGTTTCGCTGTCACGATGATCACGCTGCCGTCGTTCACGTCTGATCAGTTCAGAGTATTTCGTGTCGACTGGGCGGTTATCAACGAAACTGGAACTTTCTGTAGCCTGGGGCGAAGATATGCCTTCAAATTCTCGGCCATACATCCAAAGTCGTATTTGCAAATTTGTACCGATGATCATCTGTCTGAGAAAACTATCATATCAAATAAAAGACCAACGTCTATCTTTATCTGATTAAACGGCTCAGAAAGAGAATCGAAATATTTTCAAACCTTTTGAGGTGAGTAACCCATTGAGGAACAACACAGTAGTCGGAAACGAGTTGAAGGGCAATAAAAAATCGTGCAAACACCTCTGTGAGAGATACCTGGTTGCAAGGAAGTCCATTTCTTCAGTTGTATCAGTAAACGTTATCTAACCTGGGTATGGCGAATGATTTCTAAGGATCGAATATTATAAAACTGCGTGACTCTGCTG